CTCTCTCTCTCTCTCTCTCTCTCTCTCTCTCTCTCTCTCTCTCTCTCTCTCAACAGATCAACATGCATACCAACATCCTTAGGGAGTCAGTTCTAAGTTTGGGTGCTGTTAAGTCTTGCCAGGAAACCCAATACCCTTCATTGTCCCTTAGATGCAACCATTTCACATATGACATTTGAAGATGGAGCATCAAGAGCAGTGGTGGACAAAGTACACAACTCTAATACTTGAGTAAAAGTACTGATATGGTCAAATTTTACTCAACTACAAGTAAAGGTTGCTCGGTCAAAAATCTACTTAAGTTAAAGTACTGAAGTACTCAATTGAAAATACTTAAGTATTAAAAAGTACATACATTTAAAATTACTCAAGTATCCAAAAGTACAAATTAAATTGTGTAATATCAGTACATTGCTGTATTATTTTCAGTGTGAATTTACAGAACCTTGTAACTCTCAAAAACCACCGGATATATCGACACATAGAACCACTCTGCTACACATTCTACACCACCTGTAAAGACTTTAGCATAAAAATGCAATAAAGTGAGTGGTGAGTTCTTAAATGCAGAAATGTAGTTTATCCGTGGTGAACAGAAAAGATGTTTAAACTGATACAAAAATATTTTTAGTCCTAAAATCTCAAACATTGAGCTGTACTTAAGAACAGTACTCAAGTAAATGTACTTTGTAACTGTCCACCAATGATGGTCATTGCAGTAGATACAGCTTCAAGACAAAGACACCAGCAATTAGTTRACAAAAATGTTGGATATGACTYGTGAAGATGAATGAGTTTTAAGCAAAGCCTAAAGATTTGCAGGCAGTCRAGGCTGTCAATGTCACCAATTATCTGGTCCTTTACACATTTTACTACACTAAACAGCAGATGAAACCTATAAAAGTCTGGAGGGGTTTAATTTTTTCATCAGTGGGTGGGTCCACATTGGCACCCAAGGCTCCACGATGATTATCATTTGGTCTTTGCTCCGAACTTTAAAAACTTMTTTATGAATATGTTTCAGATATTTCATTTAAACAACCCATAAGGTATTTATTCATTATCTTTTGACAAAATGCAATYGTTGCAAACCTTTTAGCYAACTATTTCTCCACAYACCACTTTGTGACTTAATCCTCAGGTTCATTATAAACACCTACAGCACTAAAGCCCACWCTATGGACACAGATTGTACAAAAAAAGTTGTTGGGAGTCATTCTTGAATCAAAATCTATTTATAATCTATTTATTATTAATTAACTGAGTCATTGAGCACTTTTCATAAAACCCCACTTTCATTGTTTACATTGAATTTAGTACAATAAATCAATTTTGGTTTTATTTAAAACATCTGCATCAGACTGATAGAATTTGGTTACCATGGAAGTCATCAGTGTATCAATTAATTTCCTGATACATTTCAAAAACACCTCTGAACCTACAGGAGCAAGTTTGACCCACACAGTAAGTAAAACAGTTTTTCCATAACTTTTCTTTAGCTATTCTGTTTTTGTTTAGTTCATACAATTGTTTTATTATCAAAGAAAGCTTTTAATCAAAGATATACTGATATAGTCTGTAAATGTTCTATTTTTTTCTTTTACATTTTCTTAAAATATGTTTCAACTTGATTTTTCTGTAATCCAGTGTTTTGTTGAAGATATGATTCCTGACATCAGAGCTGATTAAGAAAACTAGAGAAGTTTCTGCTCATGGATGTGAAGAACAGCACTGTGGATTTAACCTCATCACCAGCAGTAAGTCAGCATAGCTTTTAGCTACTCTGAAGAAAGTTTATACTGGTTGCTATAACAGAAAAGGCATTCAAAACACATGATAAAGACTTTTTAGAAACGAATTTCTTGCATTCAAAAAAATATGTCTTATTATGATGACAGTCTCTAAACTGTGTGATATTTCTGAGCTGCTACTTCAGAGAAACAAAAYATTTTTTGTTTTGTGTGAGCCTTATGCTAATTTAAAAAAAGGAAATTGGGGTTTTGGTTAAGTCAAGTTTTCCTTTGCATTTTTGGATTTCTGAATCTGATTTTCCCCTCTTTTTTGTATGTGTGCCATTGACAAAGACTTCTACAGTCAAAGAAGAACCTGAAGACCCCAATGGAGACGGGTTTGTCCAAGAGCTGCTGGTTGAGTCGATCAAAACTGAAGACCCTGATGATGGAGATGGTTTTGTCCAGGAGCTGCTGGTTGAGTCAATCAACACTCCATTTAAACCTCACTGCAGCAAACAGAGTGAAGAATGTTTTGGAGAYTCAAGGGATTTAGAACTACATAAACCCAAGCACACTGGTGAAAGAAAGTTCGCCTGTACCCAGTGTGAGAAGAGATTCAACCAGTCAGGTGATCTGCAAAAACATCAGCGTGTCCACACTAGAGAGAAGCCTTTCACCTGTACCCAGTGTGAGAAGAGATTCACTGTGTCATGTAATCTGAAAAGGCATCAGTGTGTCCAATTTGGATAAAAGCCCCTCTTTTTTAGATATTCTGGTGGACTGAAACATTTGTTTTACTGTGGACTTGAATGGCCATCAGAAATGTCAAATAAAGCATCTAAAAATGTTAGAGCTGTATGAAACTTTTTTCTCTTGACAAAGAAATATTTTGTGAAAAAAGTCACTCAACATATTCAAAAATATGAATTCACATTTAACTTAAAATTTACAACAAAACACACATTTACACACATACACACACACAAAGTATGTAAATGTAGGACTTTTATTTAGATAATGCAGCAGTTTTACATGTAACAAGTTGAAAAGGTGCACTATGCAGTTATAAAGAAAAATATGATTAGTTGTAGTAAAAAGTTGTAAGGTTAATTGTGAGATTGCGCAAAATCTTATTTTCAAGACCAACGCTGGTCAACAAAGTGTCATCCTTTTTTAAAACTTGTCCTTTTTGCTGGTTTGTGATATGAATTTCTTGAAGAGATGGTAGGGCTTTATTTAAACTGGCAAACATTGAAGAGGTGGCTAATGCCTGCTGCTTTGCATCAAGAGTTTTATGCTACGTTCACACCGAACGCGTTTTGAGCTGCAGGAGCGGCCGATTTACATGCAAAGTCTATGGTGGAGGCGCCTCTAGGGGTCGTGCGTCGCGTCACATACRTTTTGGGCGGYGCRCAWGGAAGGCGGAAGGGGCGCAGAGCGTTTTCTGCACATGCAGTGCTGCAGAAGCCGCCGCCGCCCGAGCCGCCGCCAGAGTTCAAATATCTGAACTTTTCGCCGCTCGACTCGTCTCCCACTGAAAACCGAAAGACRGACTGGAGATCTTTACCTGAAATCGACCGTGTGCAGTTGGATTTTCTGGCAGGATATGTCAGCACTAGGGGTGTCCCGATACCAGTTTTTTCAAGACTGAGTACAAGTACGAGTACTTCAGTTTAGGTACTCACCGATACCGATACCGATACCAAGCAGCAGGGTTCGTGTG